AAAGCCTGAAGAATTCGAAATTCTTTATTATATAAAGTATCCTACAAATTTTTTTTTATTTTTTTGAATTAATATTCTGAAGTCCACTCGATCCAATGGTTTGTGTAAAATATTTATTGCAGGTGTGATTTCTGTGTAAAATTATGCATGTGTGCAATATATTATCTCTTTTAGCGCAAAGCAAACTACACAACAGACTAGACCACAGCATTTTAAGAACAATTTTGTTACCACAATACAGTTAGATGAATGAGTACCTCGGACATAGAGATTGCTGAAGCATCAATTGGGGAGACAGAGTTCCCATACTTGGCAGCCAAAGATTGGGTCAAAGAAAATGGTGAGTACTGAAGATCTGATTCTCTGGTCGGGTGGACATTTGCGGCCAACAAAGTGCTCGGAAGTGAATTTGTGTATGCATGCTGCTAAAAGATTATACAAAAAGTAAAAAAATAAATGTAAAACCAAAGTGATACCATCAAGAATGAACAAGCTTCAGTACAGATGACAAAGGAGTGGACTTATTCATCAGAAGTCACCAAACAACAGAAATTAATAGTGAAAATAGCCCAAAAAAAAAAATATATATATCCATTTGACATTTTGACTTGAGTTTTCCACAAGTACAATGATAACAAAATTAGAAAGGACAAATTAAATCAAACCAGAAAGCACGAATTAAACAAACTTCCACATATCCATAGGAAGGTAGGGAAGCTATCGTTAAACAGTAATAATAAATAATTAGCATAATAAAGAAGGACGCTAATGAAAGCTACACTGCTACAGCTACAATAGCTTAGAAAACTGAAGGTGAATAGTATGACAAAACAAGATTGGATTATTTTCAACAATTTCCATCTCAGAAAAATACATATTACTTACTAACTGTACAAAATACTTAAACTGGACTATTTTCAACAATTTTCAACAAGATTGGATTATTTTCAGCAATTCCACATTTAAAGACACTCTCTTGAACCTACAGCAAAGGCAGAAAATATTGTACCATAACATTTGAAAATGGAGGTAGACTCTGAATCTGGGAACTTGTCTGATTGAAAGCAGCATTTAAACGTTGTTCATCGTCAAAGGTATAGCCAGAGCTGGAAGAAGGAAAAGGGAATTGATATCCATGAGCCATATCGACACTCTCAGGTCTCAACTCTTCCAGCTGAGGAGCGGCAG